TCCGTACCAGTCACCAGCCTGCCTAATAGGCATCCCAGTTTGTTTTTCGTTTGTTTTGATAAGATTTGATAGTATTTGATCCTCCGATGTTTATGTCTGATGTTCCTAATAACTTAAATATATCAATTCTTTATCGGATGATTATATTTTTTTTTGGTTGTCTGGAAAAATGTTATAAATCAACCCTTCCCCCTAGATTTCTCCCAGTCTCATAATTTTTTTCTCTGTGGGGACAGATTTTGTGAACGAGAGCAATATCAAAGTTCCACATAACCTTCATAAACACCGGGGCCTACTGAGTGCTATAGGTTGTTTTGTACTACTTTCATTACGAGTCAGAGAAGTCGCATACAGAGTCCTTTTATTTCTCTTCATACTAGTACTTCCTCCTGCATAGAGGCAAAAATAAGTATTTTTGTAAATCATGCCCGAAAGAAAATAACGGCGGCCGCCACTGGTAACCGTGAACCAAACGTGACGTAGCTAAGACTGCGTGAATGTACGATGATTCCTCGCCACTCAAGAGGCAGCGAGAATAATGCTACCGACTTCGACAGAACTTTGGCGAAATTTCTACGACATTTGATTATGATATTTAAAGACTAGCCACGAGGATATCGACACAGTCTAGTGGACGTTACAGTACGGTAAGCGAAATGATCTAGTAAGGCGATATACATTCAAATAATAGTTGAAGTTAAGTTGAAGTGTTTGTTTTATTTGAAGTGTTTGTTGTATTTGAAGTGAAATAAAGTTGAGTTTGATTATTCAGTGTAGTCAAATATTGGTCAACCCACGGGTAAAAACGTAACAGTATTCTGAAGGTCATCTGATTTTCCATAGGCTCCGATATCTGATAAAATCGAGTTATTACCATTAATGCTTCGGTATGGTTCTCAAAATACCATAAGATTGAGTCTCTTTTTCAGTTTCAGCTACACCAATAGGCATTGCAGATCGAGTCTGATCCCAATGGCAAAATAGAGATAGGTGTCGATCAAATATTCTGATCTATACATCAGACAAGTTCAAATACAAGTGATTGAAGAATATGATATTGGCTTTGAGTGTGACTCTGAGTCAAGGAGTAGTGTATATGTATCAAATGTAGTTCACTTACACCATAGGTTTGGTGAATTTTTTGGAGGATTGCAATTCTTAGCTATTCATTTTGTAATCACAGCTTTGTCATGTTGTAATTCCTTTATAATTTCATATCAGAGGGGGAAAACATTTTCCTTTTACTCTTTTCTGAAAAAAAAAATTCAATAATCACGGAAGAACTGAATTCTATTCAATAAACTATCATCTCTATCTGTAGAGTAGGGAGGGTGAGTGTAGGCCCACAGCACTTAGGCCACATGTGACCCATTGTAAATCCTCCCAAGGAGTTGTCCTCCTAGGTCATCGTCCATCCTGTCCTTTCCAGGAAGGTGGACAAGTCTCTGGGAAACATCTCATTTATATCGGCAAGTGTAAGCCAAGACTCGCCGAACACACACTCTCTTATTGACGATAACTCCGGACATTCGCACAGGATATGACCGACAGTTTCATCTTCCTGTTGACACATCCTGCATAGAGGTGTGTCCACTAGCCCCATATTATGGAGGGCCAGTCAGAAATCCTACTGTTAAGCGTAAATTTTTCCTGATCATCGCCAGATATTTCTTCGGCGCCAGCTTCCCAGGATTGCCCATGGTGACCCTGGCAAGATTACATCCTTTGATTTCATCCCATCTCTTTAAGGATTGAGCATGGGTGTTTGGCTAGTTCCGCAATTGTCGTAATGAACTATCATATTTCTATGACAATGTTCATGTTTTTATATGTTGAATCGATGATTTTCATGATACATCACTATTATTCAGAGATTTTAATAACCAGATCAAATCGTCTACTATGAGTTGGTACATTCAATTCCATGAACAATTTACATCACCCAAAATAACAGTAAGATGGGAGAGGCCTTTCAATTTCCTCAAATTGATACTGATAATTGAGTATGACTCAACCATCAGAATATTTTTCCGCTCCTTAAAGTTTCATTTGTTATGATCGAATGGAGTCTGTATGAAGTAGTGAATAGTAGTTGATTGTATATTTTAATGTATTACTCACCTTATGAGAAAGAAGAGTTATAGCGCTGTATCATTCCTTTTTCCACTTTTCATTTCATATTGTTTGGAAGATAATCTGAACACAAAGAAACCCCTTCCTTCTTTATTGGCCGCTGCTTCCTATTCAGGCGCAATTGGGTACAAAGAAACCCCTTTTTGCCAATTCTGAATTGTTGATTGTAACATACCAATAATTAAAATTTGTATTTTCACAGATATGGGATTCTTCGGAGCATTCTACAGTATTACTATAAAGACAAATAAATCATAATCAGAATGCTGACATCTATTCAGTGTCCATATTTTATATTTTGATTATTTTTATCCATGTAAGGTAAGACGTGAACTAGTATAGTCGAAGTAAACGATATTATACACTCTTGAAGTTGGCGGCACTCTCAAAGGCCACAAAATCCAATTCATAGAAATGAACCGGCAGCGAACTAGTCCACATGGACTGTAGACTTGGCGGTTCGTATTGGATAAATTTTACCAACTGAGTTTTATGATTGGCTGAAAAGTCATACAATTGAATTTGTAGTCTTGTTACGGTGACGAATGCGGGAATGCGGGGATGGTTATCGCCGTCGTGTCATCAATGTTTAGTTCAGGAACTGATCGCGGTTTGAGTGTTGAAATTCGATATTGATGCAGTTATAATTACCTGAAATTTTTTGTTATTTGTTTAAAATATGACGTCCCTGGACAAGTACTAATAGTAATAACGAGTGTGATAACAACGCAGACTTTTTCCAGTGTAGTGATTTCAATAGCGATGGTAATGCAAAAAAACAAAAGATTTGCATGCATTTGAATATTGAAATACAGAGAGTATGTTTTTGGGAAAGAAAGTTTTTGGCTTCCTACTACTCCATCTTGATACAAAAAAAGGATGAGGGAATCTTCCAAAGGAAAGAAGGAATATTGAAAATAAGTAACTCTATACATGGATGTGTAAATCATGCAAAGAAGTAACTTTCAGACACAAACTGAAAGAAAGTCCTCCTGAAACAGCTACTTTCATATAAACATTGAATTACACGAAAGGAAAAATGTCTTTCGTGTAATTCATATGAATCATGTAATCTATATGAACACTGAATTATACAGAAGATACGTTTCTCTACTCAGTTTGTATTTCAAACATTCGTTGTGGAATTAAATTCAGATATCATTCACATGAGTTCTACTTTAAATGAATGGTAACAAATTGCACTTACATGGAACACTGTCATCCTCAGTGGTATACATCGATGTTTCGCCTTAAGACACTTGCCCCAAAGCTCTTCAGTACCAAATGGGATAACATTATAGAAAATACACACAATTCATTCATGAATTACGATTTTTAATGTCACGGAATAAGCTTGATCTGCATATGTCATCGATGACATCGTAATGACATTCATTCACTTATTTGATCTAATACTAGCCAAGAGGAATCTTATTTGAATTGAAGGGGTTATATAAAAGTATTTGTTCAATGTTCATATGGAAGTAGCTGTTTCAGGAGGACTTTCTTTCAGTTTGTGTACAATATACCACTGTTACAAAGACAATGAGATTAGTACAACTGAAATCATAAGGAAGAAATTGAATAGTTCCGGCCATAATGTGAGCTTTTGCGACAAAATTCTTCAGAATTGGATAAAGAAACTAGAATTTAGATTTAAAATGATAAACAAACGTCAAGCAGTTATGGAAAGCAGAAGAATAGTGGAATTGCGTTACAAATACTTAGAACAAATAACTAAATATAGACAAGAACAACGGCAAATTTTCCATTTGAACGATACTTGGTATGACACTCACGACACAGTTAGAAAAGGGTGGACTGATGGTTCGAGAATGTGTACGCCTAACATGCCTGCAAACAAAGGATCGCGATTAATGATTGTGCATTGGAAGTGAGGAAGTAAAGGATGGGTTCCGAATTCTTCGAAATTAAATGGAAAAAACTTGAGGGCTGCAATGTTGACTATCATAAAGACATGAAAGCTAATAATTTTGAGGAATGGTTTGAAAACACATTGATTCCAAATTTGAATGCGAATAATGTAATAGTTCTTGACAACGCTTCCTATCATTCGCGACAGCTCATCAAAGTCTCTGGGTATATGTCTGAATTGAACCGATACCAATTCGGTGTGTGAAGGATGAGATTTTTGAAGGGTCTATTCTGGGTAACATTTTTGAAAATCATCCATAAGAATGAATTCCATCTTTTCGGGTATTCATAGATATTGAAATTGTTGATGTTGACTAATCGTAAAGTCACTGAAATTCAGACCTAATGTATACAATCTGAACATTCGTCGACAAACAACTTTTATGTATGTATCCTCATGTATCATGTATTATATCCTCAGTTATAACATTTGTGATTTGTAGAAATGACAAATGATAAAATTGTTATTATTATTTTTCAACTCAAGATTGTGATGGTCAGGCCTTATTCTACGAAGCCCCGATACATTCGGGAGGGCCGCCAGCATTATCAACCAACGACCACTCCCTACGACGTGGGTAAATGATCATTGGGTCCGAAAATCATGTGACCTGAGTAATCGCAGTGAGCCGAAAATAACAACCTCCTGCATCATCATTATTAGTGTCGTTATTATTTTCATTATGAACTCTAAACTCCAACTAAGTGGAATACCTGGTGTTTAGAAATCACGCACAATTAGCATTTTCCCAAACGAATTTCAACACGTTTCTAATAGAATTAGAGCTTGCGACAAGATAATGACACACCATCTCAAAGGTTGGTCTTTGAAATCATTACAGTCTACTTTTAATGAACAACAATTCAAACAATAATAAATAGCTTGTTCGAAGTTCATTTGTTTTGCTCATTACACCATCAAACCATGAAAACGAGGTGGGAAGGATTCCTTGCCGCCGAGGAATCCATCGTGGTGGCAGTTTAGCAGTTATCTTGGAGATAGTTATACAGTGCGTTGTGCCAGTGAAGTATTGCGGTCACGTTGATATTAACTCCGTTTTGCTTATCAGTCAGCAGCAGGTAATTGCAGTTTTATATGGGAATTGTTGCAGACGCAGATAGTTTCATTTATTATATTTTTGGTCACAATATTTGTTGATTTAATATGATGAATGAAATTGTCATCCAAATAGTTACTTTGAAGCAATATATGAAATAATGAGATAAACTTAATTCACAAATCTCAGACTGAAATTTATTTATGCAGAGTGTTGATAAGTTTCGAAAAATATTGGTAATTGACGTTCATTTTTTCGGAGAGGATATATTGTGGCCTCATTAAGTGTACGACAAATGGATTTTTCATTCGCATTACAATACAAGTTTGAATACCGTTAAAAATTAAAGCATGTTCAGAAATCATATTAGACATGAAAAAATGCAGAAAATATACATCAAACATATTGAATTCGTCCAAAAATGATTTCAAAAAAACAGAAAAGAGACTGGCAACCCTGAAACAGAACTGAAAGTCATCCTCAAAATGAACTTCAATATGGACTTTTATTATGTTTATTTTCAACTTACCAAATTTTTTTTAACACAGTTTGAAGATTGGTCAAACCATCAACGCCAACTTGAAAATCTGGCTAGCTAACTTAGATGTCACACCAATAGATGGTTACACTTATGTTTCGCTTGGGTTTACGCAATGCTTCTTATCAAATCCTCTTCTTGGTTTGCCATAATTTCTATCAGTTCAAAGGGTAAGGAAGCCAGGCTCCAACCTGATTAAATTCAAGATGACTTCCGCCATAATTTGTCTTCAATCGAGGACCGCCTGCCTGGTACTGATGGTGTCCAACAACTGTCTACCGTGTGACTAAAATAGGGTTGTAGATCAGGCTCTGTTTTCGAAACACCCTTCGATTTGGAGGTAGTACCAGTATTAACAACCAATATCTATTCATCACAACCGTTGCGTAAATGATTACTGCCTCCGAGAGTCATATACCTATCCTAAGAAGATGTAGCGAGTGGTGACTCGAGAACATTGAAATACTCTCATAATCGAAACAACAGTTTGAAAATGTAGGTCTGATGATGCACTGTTTGGAACCTTTGGTGTAGTAATGAATATTACTGGAGTTTTTCCCTCACAGCCTTCTTGTCGGGGGATATTTACGCCGAATTCATACAACTCCTTTCGAGTCCAGTTCATCAGTCCAAAGAAGTAGAGTAGGATTGGACCTGCAAACATATTTGCAGTAGCAACTTTATTCTTCACCGATAGTTGCGATTACTGGATATATCGAAGATTGTGCTGATGCTGCGGAGACAGTGGCGTTGTTCATCCTTGAGGTTAGTTTTCGAAATGGACCGTTGTACGTCATGGATGCCATACCTACAGCATACGTGTACTCTTTCATCACTCTTGAAGACAGATGGAGATCCTATTCTCCTAAGGATCAAAGACAGACCCCAAGTATCACACCTTTTCGGAATCAACTCGTTACGGATTATCTTAAACTGACACCAAATACAGGGTGTTGCATTTAAAAAAATACCGATGACGTCATCACATTAATATGGATCACCCTGTATAATGAAGTTTTATTGTTGAATGTAGAATATTAAAATCCAAAATCAACATGTTTCAGGTTTTTGTAAAACGACCTTTGGTTTTGGAAATATCGAATTTATTCCATACTTTGCGGACACACTGTATGTCGAAACAAAAAATATATTATAAGTTTATGATGAATACATGTCAGATGTATGATATCAGAACCTAACAAAACTTACAGAAAACTGAAAAATGGTCTCTGAAAGTATATTTATTTTCAGTTCTTTTAGGTTAATAGTTCACTAAATTTCAACACGTGTTTCGCTATACAGTAGCTTCCTAAAGCGTCTTCATACTGTTTTCCATCACATTTTTTTAGTTTCTCCATCACAGTTACGAGTACATCCTGGCTTAATGAATTGTGTAACAGTGTTGGTTGTTTGAATCTTGCGGTTTTTCTTGGATTCGTTTGAAAATTCCCATAATCTTTTAATAGTTGAAGCGAAACAAATTGTGTTTTAAATATACTCACATGCTATAAAACAGATCTCGCCTTGAAAATAAAATCACATTGCGGAAAATATACCTAATCTTAGTCTCTTTTCGTGCTTTGTGTCATACGTCGTTGTTTTTTTGTAAAGTACTGTCGATTTGAACGCATGCAAAGAAAGCATGCATTAAAATTACACAAAGCTNCTTAGTCTCTTTTCGTGCTTTGTGTCATACGTCGTTGTTTTTTTGTAAAGTATTGTCGATTTGAACGCATGCAAAGAAAGCATGCATTAAAATTACACAAAGCTTTTTCAGTGCAAATATGCTAGTCCGGATGATTCTGTTGCTTAATAAAAAGAAACCTGATTCACATATTCAAATGTTAATTAATGAATACTGCGTGTCCAGTAAAGTCCAAATAGGATTTTTTAATAACTTCAATTACATAAAGCTCTCTCTCAGTACAAATATACTAGTCCAGATGATTCTGTTCCTTCATAAAAAAGAAACCAGATTCATAAATTTGAATGTTAATAAATGAATACTGCTTGTCTAGTGAAGTCCGAATTAAATAACTTCAATTACACAAAGCTCTCTCAGTGTAAATATGCTAGTCCAGATGATTCTGTTGCTTCATATAAAGAAATCTGATTAATAAATTCGAATATTAATTAATGAATACTGCTTGTCCAGTGAAGTCCGAATTATATGNGATCATCAAATAAATAAATTTGGGTCACTTTGGTTAAACGCAAAAAGATATTGAATTCATTTTGAATTGGTACATAAATATTTACCATGCAATTTATTCCAATACGTATAATTTTTCTTTATTCTCAAATGAATAATCAGCCGCCAATTGGAATTGAGCTCATATAATCACTTGCGATTCCAGTGCAGTTGAAAAAATATATCAAAGTTCATTTTCAGGGCTTGTACAACTTGCTGTACAAGTGAAAAAGAAACCAGTTATCCATGCACACGAATGGTAAACTCGATGATAAATGTAACGACATAATTGAATGTATTATTTTCTTTATTATTGTTGGATAAGACCTGAATAATAATGAGTTTATATTCCCTGTTTCCTCTTTCGATAAATGAATAATGACTGATTCAATGGTTGGAACCAAGAAAAACTCCAAAATAATAGACAATTCATATAAATGATGAACTGGCGAGGTTCAGCCAAACCCAACCTCGTATGGAGAGTTCATTTTTCTTATCTTAAATGTATAGCATAGACGAAGAGAATATTAAAAAAAAAACTGAAGTGGAGTAATACTGATAATAAAAGTAACTAAGTATTCAGATCAAATAGTTTGCCTGCGGCATTATGTGGGGGTAGCCTAAAAAGAAATATATACGTCGCGCCATGATATCCTTGCCTTGCGAGAAACAAGCTTTTTCAACCTGGGAATGAGTGAAGTACGCTTATTGCGAGAAGAACAACTATCAGATAGCGATATCATATTTTAAGATGAGGGAGATATCCCGATAGAAGAATTTTGTTTGTGAAAGTGAGTAAATGGAATTCTCTTAAATACTTCAATGAAAGCCAGCCAAAGTCAATAGAGGAGGTACCAATACTTTTACTTACGAATGCCATATCCATAGGAGAACCTGATAACAATTTTGTATAAGTTGGAGTCGCATAACATATCTACTTGGTTTAAAGCAGGACCATATATATGATCGTGTCTACTAGGGTAAAGTTGTTTTAAAAAATTTAATGAAGACCTACTTAAATGCTTGTATCTAGCCATAAGCCTGAAGTTTTATATTCATTCACGACATGAATTATATTGTTATAGATATGGATCGCTAAAGATTCACACACCTCATTTCTTTCACTTTTAGGACCAAATAACATGACCTGAGATCTATTTGGTTCAATGCTTAGGTTATTTACACAAGATACGTCATATAGTGATTGGAGATTTTTATTAATATTATCTGTGAAATTGAACGAACAGTACAATTGTGTATCATCGGTGAAGTTATGTATTTTCTTGCAAAAGACAAATTCATGGAAGTCGCTAATATAAATTTAAAAAAGGAGGGGTCTAAGGACAGAGTCTTGAGGTACACCAGAGTTTAAAAAAATTGCAATTGAGAGATTACCATCAAGGTGAACAGTTTGGATCCTTTCAGAAAGAAAGCTTCTCATTTATAATACCGAACTATGGTTAAAACCACCCCATTCCAGTTTCTTACACAATATGGATGGATCCAATGTGTCGAATGCTTTACTGTAGTTAATGATAGTGAGGCAAGTGCAAACTCCTTCGTCAGTCGATTTGAAAATATTTTACGTTACTAATAGACACAGAGAGACTGTGATAGTTGATACATACAGTGAGTCCACTGTAAAGCATAAAATCAAGCATATATTCGTAATTATTGGAATAATCAAATAGAATGTTTTCGCCACCTATGTCTGTCTGCACATTTTACTCTATAAAGGAAAAATACAACTAATGTGATTTATAACATTCTTTGTAACAATTGTAAATTGGATTATATTGGAACAATATCTAGAATTCTTAAAGATAGAGTAACTTCACATAAAAGTGATATGAAGTTCAATGAAAAAGCATGTGCACTAGCCCAACATTCTATAGAAATAGGACATGAACCAAATTACTCTCATATCAAAGTTTCACATACAGAAAAAAATATTTCCAAACGCCTTTTCCTTGAAATTGTAATAAGTCTTCTGATTGTATGAATAAGAGAACTGACATTGATATTCTCAGCAATACATACAGTAACTCATTGGAACTACGTCAAAAAACATAATGATAATAATGAAAATTGTATCAATCAACTTTCCCTTTAGAGTCAAAGATTATCAAATCATCATGCCCATTGAAAAATGACATTAATATGAAGGTATGACATTTGTCAAATCAAAAAAATTCATTAATGTTTAACTTTCTTTCGTCGATTTATATGTACAATTCATTGTTTTTACTCATTTTTACTGTAAGTATGATTTGTAATGTAATTCATTGTCAAAAAAACCCACAACTCAATAAATTATAGGCCCTGAAGAAGCTTCTCACTAGAAGCGAAAGCTTGGCAAAGTAGAGCAGTGTTTTTATTTTTGATTTTTTTACTGAGAGACCCCGTTAGTCCATTTTACTGTAAACTTCAATTGCGTTAGTTTTGTTATACGTAGCGAATGACTTCGCATGTCGAGGTTGTATTTTTTCTTTGTTGACTATAGATAGATAGGTTCTAACCTACTTCTAAATTAAAATCGATAGTTGTGAGTATCCTTTTTTTTGGGTGAGTTCTATCAGAAGCCATTATTATAAGTTACAAGTTGATGCAAAACTATGACAAAAAAATGTAGGCGTATATGTTTGGCTACCCAGGCAGAGCTATATTGGACTGCTAGTAATCAATATCATTAAACATTCTAGAAAAACGTCAATTTTGAATTCTAAAATAACAATTATAATTTTGTACTACTCTTTCAATCCCCTCGGAGTGACAACATCCCTTTGAAGATTTCAAATATGAAACATGGATGCGCGTGATAGCTCATTTGGAAGAATTTTCAGTTCTTCATTGAATTTCTCTGATGTTTTTATTCAGGGTATTTTGGTGAAGTTATATTGAGGCGTTCTGTAATCACCCAGTATATACTCGTACAACTGTTTTTTCAGACAGTTTCAAGATTAGTAAGATATGGCATTACAGTGTATTTTCATTAACCTTTCATTGCCCATTTCACTAATATAAGATATTTTGTTTCAGGTTCAATACTACTTACTTACTTACTTGAGAGATACCAAGAGGGAAGATATGGTTTGGGGCAATAAATGAAATGGGAGCCCAGTTCAATAGATGGACAGTGCTAAAAATATTCGAAGTTGTGAGTCAAAAATATTCTATTTATTCAGAGCTATGTTAACCAATCTTGCTTTTGAGGATGAAAGAAATTAATGATTAATAATAATAATAATTTTATCCACTTTCTGCTTAAGGTATCAATTCAATTCATTCAGACAACATATGAATAAAACAAAACAAGAACT